ATTTCTAGCCATCATACCAGATTCTTGAACTTCCCCAGAGAATGACCTGAAATATCAGCAGCATCCAAGTGATGGTAAATTCTCATACAAAAATTCCATTTCTTCTGGGCATATATCGGATGAGTTAGTCTTGTTTGGTGCAAAGAAACCAACACACCTTGTCAGACTGAGGAACATTCTCCGAGACTAAACCATCAAACGTGAAAGAACAACAATGACCTGAGAACTGCTTTCCATAAGCAAACATTAAAGAGCTAATTCAAATAAGTAAGAATAAGATGTCTAATAGGATCCTAGATTTGAGACAAAAGGGCTTTAAGGAATATTACTGACACTAATGAGTATTTGGATACTGATTGCCTTAGATGATTGTGGGACTGTGTAAGAGTATCCTGGTTCATGGCTGGGCATGGGCCTGGAACCCTGAAACTCTGGCCACGCCCCCAGGACCCAGAGTCCTGACTTGCAGTCTCATCTCCATAGACCTACGTTGTTCAGTCACGTAGGCCATTACAGCCCCTCCCAAAGTGCACAGGTAGAGGGCTTGACCATAGGCCTCAGGCCCTAGGGATGTACATACTAATGAAGGCCAGAAGGCGGAGCAAATTAAGCATGCTTCCCCAGACCCTCCCCCTTCCTCCCTCCCTATTTAACTCAGGACTGCCCTGAGTTTCACTGAGGTACATCCAAATCCATCCACCATCCACCATGACAATAAACCCTTTTGGAACTATGGACATTCTCGTGTCTTTGGGGCCTGTCATCGCCAACACCTCCAGCCTTTGGAACCTTAGACCTTCTCCTGTATGTAGGACTAGCCGCATGCAAAGCCTCTGGGACTCCACCACTGCTGCGGCCTATTTTTTCCCACAGATGATATTATTTATTATTATTATTATTATTATTATTATTATTATTGTATCAGTGTTGAAACTGTAGCAGACAACGTTGTAGTTCTTGAGAGGTGAATCTTGACCAGTAATAGTCCACAGCATCCACACACAGATACATGTATGTGAAGTGGGAAGGAGCACAGGGGAATCCCTGCACCAGCCTTGTGCCTCACACGTGTTCATTTTCTCTACTTGGACTCTTGGTAGATCACATTAAGAAAATGTATCATCTTAAACAAACAAGGGGTCCCTTGATTTAAAGAGACTTACACACCAAGGGAAATATTTGCTACATTGTCATTAATCTGAGACATTCTTGTGAATTACCATTAATTAAAATATCCTGCGCAGTCTCTGACCTTCCTAAGTCCCTAGCCAATCCCTTTCTTTAACATCTGCGTGAACATCCAAAGAAGCAAATCTTGCTTGAAATTTTAAAACGAAGTAATTAGGAAACTAAGCAGTGAATGTTCAAAGCCCTCTAACGGCTTCTTGAATAATGGAACCACTTTGAAATGCCTTGAATTTATAATGTTCTTGTGGCCTATTATATAGGGATTGAAGTTTTTAACAGAACTTTTTTAGTCGTAATCTCTGTAAGAATGGGGCAAGGGGAGAAATTTGTGTTAAAAGTCATTGAGCAGAAAATCTTGAGGAATTACCCACTGTTGAAATCCACTTGTGTTATTTCCCCCAAGAGCTCTCATGTACAAGAAAGGAGTGAGGTTGTGCCAAGAATTTTTTTACTATAAAGCATTATGAAGCCAGTGTGGCTTACACATGCAGACAACATCTGGTGCACTCAATAAAGAATGAAAGCCGGAAAGTCTGCTAAAGACGCAACATGGAAAGGCCAAACCTTTGATACTTAAATCATACTTTCTTTTAATGATGATGAACTCTGTTTGCAGACTGGAACGTATAGTTTCTGATCATTAATTGTTAAATGCTTCAAACGGTGGAAAGAATGAAAAACCTATTTTCCTCCCTACAAGGGAATTCTTGTGAGTTACTGAATTTCCACTTTATTGTGTGACTTTGAAATATATCTAAATGCTAGTGTTCCCCTATTGCTATACATGATCTTGGAATAATTTCTAAAATGTTAAATATGTCATAATTCTATCATCTGCTTAAATCTAAAGCGACCTAACCATTCGTGAAGATGTGATTTACAAAGAATTTAGGTAAATTAAAGATGACAGAAAGGATCAGGTTATTTAATTGTATTTATTCCTTGAGTCATTTTCTCTTTTATATCATTTCTACTAGATGGAGCCACTACATCATTTTCAAAGCCTAGAGATCACTGAACATGAACTTAGTCTTCAACGCATAGCTCATCTTTCAAGAAAATAGATGATAATAACAGGGTTAGTCTCACTGAAAAGATCGCCTGAACCCATGTTATCCAAGAAAGCTTATGTCTTAGTTAGGGTTTTACTGCTGTGAACAGACACCATGACCAAGGCAACTCTTATAAAGACAACATTTAATTGGACTGGTTCAGAGGTTCAGTCCATTATTATCAAGGCAGGAGCATGGCAACATCCAGGCAGGCACGGTGCAGGAGGAGCTGAGAGCTGTCCATCTTCATCTAAAGGCTACTAGTGAAAGACTGGCTTCCAGGCAGCTAGGATGAGGGTCTTAAAGCCCACACCCACAGTGGCACACCTATTCCAACAAGGCCACACCTAATAGTGCCACTCCCTGGGCCAAGCATATTCAAACTATGACAGCTTAGTCACTAATTTCCTTCTAAATACCATCACCATACAACCACATTTAAAAAAAAAAAAACAAAATCACTGCGGCAAGAAGATCTCTGAAGCATAACACCAACAGAGCCCCTTTGTGAATATATATTCCAGACAACAACTTGGTGCTGCTTCAAATGCATAGGGAGCCTAATTTATTTAGATATCTTCTTCCTTCTACAGGCACCATTAGTACTCACTGTGAAACATTTTCCCTCATAGTCCTTTGCATATTTGCTTAACAGAATGTCCCCTGGGATTGTTTGAGCTTCCATGTGATCCTGTGATATTGTTTGATCACTAACCGTGGGTATAGTTGCACTCAATTTTCCTTTTAGGAAAAATATCCGTATAGCCAGAAAATGTGTGTCCTTCATACACCGTGATTAGCCTAGATGTTTGACTCCAAGTTACACGCTGACTTGGGAGCGTGCATAGTTCTTCTATTCGCCTTTGATAAAACTCCATGGTGAGCTTCCTACTTACTGCATTAATTTTACTGATTTTTGTTTTGATAAGTCATAAGTGCCTAGAAATGTATTCATTTCTTCCAGATTTTCTAGGTTCTTTTAAAAAAATGCTACATATTTCCCAATAATTCTCTATATTTCAGTGGTCTCCATAGGAATCTCAAATTTTCATCAGTAATTTTTCTTAATTTGGGTTTTCTCTTTCATTTGGTTAGTTTGGCCTAATTATTTTATGTCAATCTTGTGGGTTTTTTTTTTTATGACCAACTTCTCATTTGGTATATTTTACTTATTGTTCTCTTATCTTCCTTTGAATCAATTTCTTTTCTTTTGAATTTTTATGTTAATAACTTTTAAGGGGCATGCACATTGTTATGTTTTATTGTGAAAATTTCAAACAAAATGTTTTATTGATTCTTCAACCTTCTCTTCAACCCCACCCCCACCCCAACTGTTCTCCCATACCCTTCTGCATACCCCGTGGCTTCCTTTCTGTTTTCCTGTCTCTTATTGTTGCAGGATATTTGATCACACTGTTAACCCTGAGATTGTGTTACTTACTGAAACTACCTGTTTCTAGTTGTGGTGTGGCTCAGCCTTAGGACACGATTTTAATCCCTCTGGCAGGAATATAGTCACACCCTCAGTAGCCACCTTTAATCCCAAACAGTGAAGGTACAGTTAGTTTGTAGATGAAAGCATTCATGTTTGAAAATGATGTCTAATGGAATGGCAGACAAAGTGATGAATCAGAGAAATATTTAGCAGAATAGGCTAAGCCCAGCTCTCACAAGAAGAGAGGAAAGAGGAGCTACTTAAGGGAGAGAGAAGGAGGTAGCTTTACCAGGGGAATTTTACAGAAACAGGTTACAGAGAGAGAACAAGCTAGACACAGGTAAAGACAGAACCAACCAGAGAATGAGAAGGACCCAGAAGATTAGAACATAATGCCAAAGCTAATATGAAGACAATCAGAGCAATTCAGGAAAAGCCAAGAGAAGTCAGATTGAGTCAGTCAGCTTGGAGAGAAGTTTGAGTCAGAAAAAAAAAAAAAAAAGAGTTGATCCAGCCAGATAGAGTTCAGAAAAAACTAGAAAGGGGTGAGCTTATTCAGCAGTAAGTCTCAGAGGCTGAAAACATTTTCAGCCTAGATGAGATCTTATGGAGGCTGGAAACTTCTAGCATTAGCCCTAGCAGACAGAAGCAATAAGCCCCACCACAGACAACAACAACTTCAGAAGAATAAAAGTTCCTTTTCCATTTTGCGTCTTCTACCTCCCTCCCTTCATTGACAGCTCTTTTCTACTTCTTACTCTCGTACCTTATACCCTCACTCAAGCCCATTTATATACATATAAATAATACAAGCTAGGATCTGCTTATGAAAGAAACATGCAGTTCTTGTCTTTCTGAACCCGAGTTATCTTGTTTAGATGTAATGTAATACAGAAGCATCATTTTCCTGAAGACTTTATGGTCTATTTGTCTTTGTATATGAATAAAACCCCACTGTGTATATGTACCACATTTTCACTGGCCGTCCATCTACTGGTGGATATCTAGACTGACTCAGTCCTTATTACTGTCAATAATGCAGCCGTGGACAGGGATGCATCTCTGGTGATACATTCCTGATATGGACTATAGATTCCTTCGAGTGCAATCCCAGGGCTAGTATAATTGGATCTATGGATGTTCTAGCTCTATTTTTCTAGGAAAACTCTCTACTGATTTCCAGTGTGGCTACAGTAGTTTATATTCCCATTGTCCATGAATAAACATTCCTCACTCCCCTCATGCTCAGCAGCGTCTCTTGCTGTTCTTTTCCTCCACGACGGGCATTCTAAGGGGTGATGTAATCTCGCAGTGGACTCTTTTTGTTTAATATGGAATACTACACAAAATTACATGTCATCCTTTCACAGGGACCTTGCTAATCTTCATATTATTCCAATGTTACTGTATGTGCTGCCAAAGCAAACACCTCACAGTACTTTTAATACACAGTACTTTTAATATTCACTTCTCTAGTGGCTAAAGGTCTCAAACACTTTATAAGTGCTTATTGGACATTTGTGTTTCTTTTATTGAGATCTGTCCATTCATTTCATTAGCTCATTTGTTGACTGGCAGATTTATAGTGCTTAATTTTGACAATTATCGATATATTTCAGATATTAATCCTGTCTGAAGCATACCTGTCAAAGCTTTTCTCCCATTCTGTAGACAGTCTGGCTTTTCCTACTTGATAAGCTTCCTTTGCTTAAACGTTGTTTTATTTTATTTCAAGGAGACTTACTTGTTAATTATTGGGACTGTTTTTCTGTGCTACCGGAGTTCAGAAAGTTCTTGTCTTAATGTGTGTGTGTGTGTGTGTGTGTGTGTGTGTCTGTCTGTCTGTCTGTGTATCTGTGCATCTGTGTCTCTGTGTGTCTGTGTCTGTGTCTACGTGTGCATGTGTATATACATATGTGTACTCTCTCCCTCTCTCTCTCCCTCTCTCTCTCTCTCTCTCTCTCTCTCTCCCTCTCCCTCTCCCTCCCTCCCTCCCTCCCCCCTTCCTCCCCCCATGTGTGTGTGTGTGTGTGTGTGTGTTTATCTTGAAGTGCATTCTCTGTTGTCCTCTAGAATAGTGATTCTTAATCTTCCTAATGCTGTGTCCCATTAATACAGTTCCTCATATCATGTGACCCCAATCATAAAATTACTTTCATTACTACTTCATAACTCTAACTTTGCTACTGTTACAAATCATAATGTAAAAATCTGTGTTTTCTGATGATATTAGGTGACCCTTGTGACAGGGTCATTTGATCTCCCCCTGCTCTAGAAGTTCTAACATTCTGGGTTTGAAATTATGGTCCTTGATCCAGTTTGAATAGATTTTAGGCAAAGTGAGAGCCATGGATCTATTTTCATTCTTCTTCAGTTTGATATCCAATCTTGTCAGCATCTTTCATTGACTAGGTTGTCTTTTCTCTTATAGTTTATTTTGATACCTTCCTCAAAAAATCAGGTAATCATAGTTCTGTGAGTTTGTTTCCAGATCCTCTGTTCAGTTCTTCTATGTATCTATTTTTGAGTCCTTACCATGCTGTCTTTGCTACTATGTCACAGTGGTATAATCTTAAATCAAGTGCTTCAAGTCTAACCCAAGAGTGTCTCAACCTCAAAAAGGCGACAACAGTACCAACCTTTCAGAGTTGACATGCCAAACAGGGAGTGTATGAGCCTTTATAGCACAGTCCCTACTGCCAACTGAGGCTCAAAGTGTAATAGTTTCGCGACTGGTTAATAAAAATAGTATGTCATTTGCATATCAATAATTTAAGGACAGAACCAATGAGAAGAAAACAAACTGGAGTACATGACATTTACAGGAAGCAAACATTGCCAGCTGCAGAGCTACTGATAACATGTGCTAAGTAGCAACTCCAGCTCTATTTATAGAAAGATGAAAGGGCATTCTACTGATTACTAGAGAAACATGGTCTCTGGCTTCATAGAAACCCTCTTGAACCTCTTTTTAAAAAACAATCGGTCCTATTTGTTCAATTCCCAGTTCCTGGAAAAATAACTCCTCTCGGTTTTAGGCGCAAAGGTATAGCAGAGATCAAGACGTCTACGATGAAATCCAACAAATGCAGGGTTTGTGCTACTGTCTATGACAGGAGGCAGTGATTTGGTGCAACACAACTCAACTCAGGATGCCCATTTGTTACTCCACCACAGTTCCAGCGGCTTGTTTATACAGGACTCCATTCTGAGTCTTTGCCCAGCTGCATACCTGTCTTCATAGCATTCATGAATTTAGCTCTATGACTCCTTTGCAGAGCTGTAGTTCATGAGAGACCATTTCTCTTCCTTGGGGGGAAAAAAAGCAATATGTTCTATGATTCAAGACCTAACTAAACCTTTCCTTATAAATCTGATTTCTACCATCTCCGTCATGCTTGTAATATACTGACTTCTAAATTTCCCTTGAAAACCTGTGTTACAATAAAACCTGAATGCAAGCCACCTTAAGTAGACTTCATTAGCTTAAACAAATGAAGGTACTCTGGCCTTCTAGCTTTAGGTGTGACATCTTTGTCATAGCATTCACTGATCTCCCATGGAGAGTTAGCTCTTCCAACCACCAGTGCAATGCCTATACACTCAATCTTTTTGTGTGAAATTCACATATTGATTTCAGTTTTAACAACTTTCCACCCTTTCTCTTCAAAGAATCACACCAACTATGGTGTTTCAATTTGTAAATCTCTCTTTAGTACAATTTTAAACAAATCTGTTGCCTTTCTCTCTCTCTTTTTTAGTCGCTTAGCAACTTCTCAGACAGGAAGCAGTGTTCCCAGTAGTTCTGGCAGACAGTGACCATGGATAATGCTTCCTCAGCATGGGTCAGAACACTAGGGCAGTATCATCAGCCAAATCTGAGGCATGCCCCTCTGTGCCTTTGAGAGATGGAGTCATTGATGCTCAAATAACATGGATTTGTCTTGAGATGGAAATCAGACAGATGATAAGATTGCTAGTCTTTCCTACAGATTTTCAGGGAAATGAAAAGGTTCTCTGATCTGCATCTATAGAAAGTATAAAGCCAAGAATGAAATGGAACACACACAGGTCTAATATATAGAAGCTAAACAAATGTAGCACCATGGGTGGAGGGGCCTCTTGAGGAGTATTACGAACCCAACAAACACACATGGTGAAGCAAGAGCTCAATAATTTTCTGCCTCCCCGTTTGCTCTTTATATTCCATAAATACTGTCTCACCAATCCTCTTAAAGCTCCATTTGAAAACTAATAGTGACTAATGTCCACCTACATGCTGATTCTTGTGTCTAAACATAGAACAAGATTTCTGTCTAGAATTCTACTCAAATTCAGTCAATGGTACAAATATATCATAGCCAAATAGGAATCCTTTCACCTCTTGAAGCTCTGCATTACTAGTTTGGGGTTTCACAGTATCATATTTTCTTTGGTGGCCACTGGGAGGGAAAGTCAGTCAGTGTCTGGAACAAACAGAGCGTGTGCTGCTACAGTCTTTCTCATGTTTCCTCGGCAGGAATGGCCTGTCCATTGTTTCATTGTCAGATCTGAACAATCACTACTCAGGGTGACTAGGAAGGCAGCGGTTGGGCTCATTGGATTTCCCAGAAAGATTTGCAGGGCCTAAGCCTGTGCTTGCAGCATAACAAAGGCTTGACAGATGTCTAGAGAATTGTCTATTTGATCCTCCACCCCAAATAGATGACATTATTTGACTGATATTTTTGTGCCGAGTTCCTAGTCAAAGGAAGATTTGTTGACTCAATTACATAATGGATGACATCTCTCCAAATACCATAGTACTCTCCATTCCAAGGAGGAATGATGGATGAACACTTGGCAATAATCATCATAATAATTTCAAGGACCTCAATCTTAATATTAAAGTGGAAAAGATGAACATGATATGTCCTCATGTTCTATCAAACACATATACAGGGCTAGTCAATCAAGCACAAGCATTAGGGCCGAGGTTTGATCCAAGGATTAGATGAAGTAACTAAACATAGTCCTATGCACCTGTAAGCCCACGGCTGGAGACATAGTCAAGAGGATCCCATCCCTAAAGCTCACTGGCAAACCAGCCTAGCTGAATCTACAAGCTCAAGATTCAGTGAGACTCTGTCTCAAAATCTAAGGCAGAGGTCAATTGAAGAAGACACCCAACATTGACTTCTGCCTTCCACACATGCATGTACCATATGTGCACATGTGTTCAGAGACACATCCCCATGCACACATGTACACATGCACAAACAGACAAGTGCACACAAAGTTAAAAGCATAAGGGGTGTCACTTAGGTAGCTCGTTAGGTAGTCTACACAGTAAATGTGTAGACTGACCAGAGACTCAGAGCCCAGTTTTCATAAATCTACTTACCTTTCAGTAGCCAAATAATAAGCAATGAAAGGGATGATTTAATAGAATACATTGACACCATAGCACATTATTTCTTAACATAGAAACCTGGGTGACACTGCCAGCCTTTTAATGAATCCCCAAACCACTGCAGAGAGCTTTGTAAGTTCCAAATTAGTGAGATTTTTATGAAAGTTAATAACGCAACCATCACCTGTGAGCTTCCTGCCATTTTCCCGGACTGTTTTAAATGCTAGAATGGGGCAGTGGCTACAATGTTGCTTTATTGGCAGTTTACAAAAACAAACCTCACTAATCAGCACTCAGCGAGTCATCCCCGGTGCATTTGGATTCTGAATAAGTAGGGCAAAATAAGGAAGAGACTACAGGACTTCACTGAACCCTGCTGGAACTGCGCATGTGGACATGACCTGAATATGCATTTTAAAAGTTTCTAGTGTATGAATATAACCTTCTCTTGAAATTCAAAGACCCTTTGGAAGCTTACTGGAAAAAAAAGACTCATTTGACTTTTCTAATATCATATGACCTACTCAAAGTAATACCTAGATTTATTAGTATCTGAATAAAAACATGCTGGTCATATTTAAATTAACATACACATGGTTTGAAAATGAGTAGAGAGTTGTTGCAAAAAATTTTGCCTTCTTTCAAAAATCAAAACCTTTAAACTAATTCTACCACTCTACTAACATAACTTCAGTAGTTTGGAATGAGGTTCTGGGAACCCAACCTGCTTCCTGAATGAAGACCAACTAGAGGGCTTCAGAGGGGTATTTTGATCCAGGATCAGTTGACTCAAAGTGGGACTCTGTGTGACTAAGCCTCAGGAAGTCCCTAAATTCCCTGAAAACGTGTTCAAAGATGAATTCTTAACTTTGGCTTTACTGAAATTTTAGATCAGATGATTCTTTGTTGTGTGCAGATGCACTGTTAGAGTGCTTGGCATCGCTTCCTGCCTTTGATGTGACTAGCAGAGTTCCAGTCAGGACTATCAAAAACCTCTCTAAATATCACAACATTCTCAGAGGACCACTGGCTTACAG